ATCCGGAGGCCAAAAGGCAGCCAGTGCAGCTCGCGGAGGATAGGTGTTATGTGGGTGAACCGAGGTGCACCCACGATCGCTCGCCATGTTGGGTCCTATGAAGAAATCCTACACTCAAGAGTCCCCCAGGCAACAATACAAATTCAGAGAATTCTTTCACAAAACAGCCAGACAATCCTTGTGATCTCCTGGCTTAGAACACCTTACTATAATAAGACCTCAGGAAAAGGGTCTTTTAAGGACTTAGCATCTTGGACCAACCATCCAAATAAAGCAAATAATAAGAATGTGAAATCCTGAATTCATTCTTTTTTTCCCACCGCTGTGCATTAAAGGCAGCTTTTTAAAGGGTTGTAGCAAAGAAGGGAGAAATAAGTTAGGTTGTAAAGATGTCAGGCAGGGTTATATGGGGAGGATGGTCAGAAAAGTCAAGATGAGCCTATGAACAAGTCTTCAGTCATGCTGTCACAGCCAGCACCTTGACTTTTTTTGACCACCCCTGATTTAATCAGGAGAAAAGCTTCCAAGCATCTTGTTAGAACAGATTTCACTAGATTCTGTCTTTGAGATTACTAAAATTATTCCTGTGGTGATACTACTTGCTTTTGCTACCTGAAAACCCCAAAAATATGAATGCAAATTGTTAATAATGTGTTGATTCTATACAGTGTTGTGTTACCTTTTTACAACTGTTTCAAGCTTTTCAGTCAACAGTTTGGGATTTTTGAAAATTAGATTCCAAGTTAGCATATACAAACAGAATGCCAACAGGTTTGATACACCCCTTTGAGGCCCAGAAATGATAATATGGGGAAATGTTTAGAAGGATTCTGGGTAATCCTCTCATAGGAATTGAGATACTTTATTTAGCTTGCTCCAGTTTATAACAGCTAACAAATCATGGATCCCTTTCCAGGATGTGATGGTTGTAGGGGAACCCACTCTGATGGGCGGAGAATTTGGTGATGAAGATGAGCGGTTGATCACTAGACTGGAAAACACGCAATATGATGCAGCCAATGGCCTGGATGATGATGAAGACTTCAACAATTCCCCTGCCCTAGGAAATAACAGTCCTTGGAACAGTAAAATGTCTACCAACCAGGAGACCAAGTCTGAGAACCCCACACCCCAGGCTTCCCAGTAGAACTCCATACCTACCCCTGCTCGACTGGTATCAGCAACTAACCCCCATATCACAGCATTCCATAGGTAAGCAGAACAAAAACCTCTAGATTTTCAACAGATGTGGAAACTATTTCTAAATGTACAGCTTTTGTGAACTAGAAAAACAATTTATAAGCACCCAGGAGATGATCTCGGAAATGCTTGTACTTGCAAGAGTTTGGCACTGACCTCAGTGAAACTAAATATGTAAGTAGCACCTCATGACGATTTTTAGATTTTGATGGAGGATTTTTCCCCAGGATAATCTCCTTTTATTCTATAAAGGCCATATCTTCTGTCAGTGCTCAGGATCGAATGACTTTTTTTTTTTAACCATGAAAGAGGATATCCTGGCTTTTCTTGTTCTGCAATATAAATGGAAAGAGCAGAATTTGGAAACAGCCCTTATTTTCTTTCTGTGCCATTGATTTTTCTGGATAGCCATTTGAGAAGGCGAGAGGCAGGAGAGAATTTTTTTTTTAATCAGGCTCCAAAAACAGCTTATTGTTATTATTAAAAAAAACACCAGTAGCAGAGCTTTAGCATTTAGTCTACATAGTCTGGGCTGAAACTTTTCCCCATTTGAATCAGCAACTGAGGACCAGAAGCTCTGATGCCACATGATGGAGAATGCTACTGTAATGTTTGAAGTTAAAATATTTTCTCAAAGAAGGAAACCAAGCTTTCCAGGACACCAATGATTCAGCCATGATAATGTGGACTTTATTAAAGATCCAATCATTCTAATGTTACTGGTTACAAAATTCAGCCTTGAGATTTCAAATGATAAGATTCTAAGCAGTTGCAATAAAATCATAACAATACCCCAATATCTTTTTTGTGGCTCTGATCCATAGCAGAGCCTAAATGTTACCACTCTGGAACTTGAAAACTTCAGTTCCAAAGATTGGAAAAACTTCTCGGAAGGGGTGTGACCATGCATATCTAGCTATGTGTCTGGCTAGGAATAATTGTGAGATCAAAATTACTTATGTTTCATTCTACTGAAGTTGGGATTTGTCAAAAGCCCTCTTTCTCAACATCTTCATAATTTTCTCTTTCCTGACACAAGTTGACCTTTTGCCGTCTTTCCTTCTCTCCCTTTTCTATTCTTCATTGCTTTCAGGCAAATAATGTAACAGATTCTAAATCCAAAATTTTTCGTCCCCTTGTGAAAAGCACTGAAACAATTATAAATGCCATTTTGTTTCATCAAACACATGACAAATATTTTTATGTGGGAGGGTAGCTGTACCCTATGAAAGTTTATGCTTTGTAAAATTGCTGTTGATCTGAATTTTGAAAGCCATGTAATCCATAAATTTTGTGAACAATTTGAACAAAAACCAATTTGGGTTTTATTGCATATTGTTTATTTGATTCTCTTCATGCATTATTTCTTGTATAATACTTTTTGTAAAGCCCTTCAAAGTAATTAATTTTTGATCAAATATATTTATGTGAAACTTTATAAAAAAGTATTTTTTTCATTTACATAATATTTTCAATTCATCATGTAAAAATACAGTGAGTTGATGTGATACAATTGTATTTTATGTATGCTTTGCCAATACGTGTGCCAATAAACTGTGTTAACAAATATGTTGTTTATATATTTCCTTTCTAACAGAATAAACAGCAGTGACATGCAGTCAGGGGAGGCAGGGGAGGCAGAGCCTCACTACTGTCATCATGAAAAGAAAAAAATGTGCTGCCAGAGTGACAGTGGATGACTCTGCTTAGTGCTTAACTGTTTAAAAAAGCCTCTAAAAAAGTGCCCTCTACAGGAGGAGGCGGGAGAACCATGTGCCCCTTTATGATCACTCGAGCAGAGTTAAGCAAGGGTTAACAGCCGAAAAATTCCTTATGTAGATGAGG